ATTTAATATATTAATAATATTTATTAAATAATATCAAAATATAATAAATAAAATATCTTATATAATAATATTAACATATTAAATACCAATATTTAATATGTTAATAATGTATTATATAATAAATAAATAATAATAGAATATAAATAAACTAATAAAAATAATAAAAAAGTTATTGATAATAAATAATAATATAATAATATACTATACAATAGTATAATCACTATAATATTATTAACTTTTTAATAAATAAATTGAAATAAATTAATAATTATAAAATATTATATAATAGTAACATATTTAATAATAACACAACAATATAATAATAATATATTGTATAGTTTATAATATATTAATAACATAATATTAACATTATTAAAAATATTATATTATATGAATAATATTATAATATTATATTATATTAATAATAGTATAATATTATATTAATAATAAAATAATATTATTATAAAAATATTAATATAATATATAACAATAACAAATTCATATACCAAAATAATTAAATATATAATTATTTGAAAATAGTATGTAATAATTATAATATAATAATAAATATAATATAATATAACTCATTAAAGTACAATATAATATTATAATACATTATACAATATTATATTGCATTACATTTAATACTTATAATACTATAATAATGTAAACTAAATATTATAATATTTTATTTATAATATATTTTATTATAATTAATATAGAATATATTAATAATATTTTTAATATTAATGTTATAATGAGTCAAACTAGTGTTGATCAAAAATACTTAACATGATGTTTTGAAATCATTTTAAGGGAAAAACACAACATCATGGTGTTTTTTTATAAAAACACAACAAGAAAAACACAATGGTATCCAAACGAAGCAGGTAATTCAAGTTTTATTTGTTGGGAGTTTTAGTTTTATTTCAACGGATATCCATATTATTTCATATTTTGAAGTAACAACGTCAATATGATTTGCTGAGAAAAGTGTAAAGGTCAAAGGGGTTTTGTGAGAAATCCCATATTTGAGGGAGTTAAATCAAAATTTCAAACTATCAAAACTCCCAAAACTAAAGGGATTTCTTCGAATTAAAATAGTTAAGGGGGTTTTCTGAGCACCATAAAGGGCTCAATGTATCCATTTACTTCTTGGAAGATTTTATTAGCCAAAATAGGTATTTTGGTTATTTCATATTTTGAAGTTTTTTGCCGAGAAAAGTATAAAGGTGAGGATAGATTATTGCAATATATTTTATGGTGAATATAAACTATTTTGCAACCGAATTATAATAAGAAATAAACAAACAAAAAAAAAAACAATCATAACATTGGACCACGTGCTACTACGCACGTACATACCTCCTAGTGTTACCTAAACACGCTTGTATGCTGTCGCTAATCATTAGAAATAATTAATATTTATTAATTAGATGCATGAGATATTCCTGCATTTAGTATCTTTGTAAACAAAAAACTAATTTTAATATTTATTAATTAGATGCATGAGATATTCCTGCATTTAGTATCTTTGTAAACAAAAAACTAATTTTAATATTTATTAATTAGATGCATGAGATATTCCTGCATTTAGTATCTTTGTAAACAAAAAACTAATTTTTTCCCCTTAGAAAGAGATTTCTTATCAATCAAACTAAGTAATTATGTCTTCCTCCAACTTGAGTAATGACATTATAGAGCTGGACTAGAGATTCCACGCCCGGAAAAGTAAAAGTTAATTGCTAGTCTCCGAGTCTTGTTGCTTTCTCCTCACCAACAACCCTCCCTAATTATTTCAAGTAAACATAATACCAAGTCATAAGATCAAATGATTTATTTCTTCAGAATTTTTATTTTTATTTTGTTCCAAATGGGATGCCTTGAACAAGACGTCGTAACAACAGACAAGTACCCGAATCGAATGATCAGCCGTTTTGTATTATATTCTTTTTTTAAGAAAAAGTTGGCCACGTAGTTGACCGAGTCAAAATTACGGCAAAAGAGAACGGAGATTATTATGAAACATTTGGGCTCATTGATTTGCTCATTTGGATATGTTAGGTCTCGAATTGGCCTTTGTGTTTCGATCTGAGATGCAAGTCAAGAAGGGTGCTAAATAAGATTACCTACTATTTTTCAAGATATCAAAAAATATGTAGCGGAATAAAAATAATAATAAGTACAACAATAAACAATATAAAACACAGAAAATAATTATAGGCAGAACACACAATAATTTTATAGTGGTCCAGATAAAAAATCAAACATTCACTCTTTCTTCTTGTGAAGAGGCTTCATCACTCTATGAAAGTTCTCCCGAATCATAAACTCGATTTAGTAGACTTGCAAGACTGAAACCGTAGTTTCTCCCAAACTATTCATATAACCTAAACTCTTCACGCATACATGTCCCTAGCCTTAACTAGTAACAAATTGCTCATTTAACTCTATCCTGAGTATGTCGTAAACCCTCAATTCACCCTAGCTTGAGTGCACCCTAAAAATAAGTTTTATAGAAATAATCAAATATCAAATAAGCACAACTAAAATGGTCTTACAGCTCTTTGATTATGCAAACCATTCTCCTTGATAATAATAGCGAAGCTCTGAGAAGAACGGCGATGATGATAAAGTCAGCACTCCTCGAAAGTTGATGATCAGATGATGAAGAGATGCTTTCCAAGATACCTGCGCAAGATTAGTCATCTATGTTGAATCCCTAACTCTCTCTATCTTTCTCTTTCTTTTTCTTTCTCAACTAGGTTAGGAATCTCTAATTAAAAATGTAAGGAAATAGTCTACATACCTCTAGCAATGAATGTCTCAGATTAAATCTAAAATTAGATCAGAATTCTAAGTTTTGGTGGGCGACCATTGATGGTGGCAATCGATCATCTATGGTAAAGTGATGATCATCGATTGTTGATTTGCTTCATTGATGATTTGAACCTCTCTAGATATTTGAACCATTGGTGGTCAAGATGATCATCGGTGTTTCATATTGGATCATCGATGGTCTGCGTTATGAAATCAGCTGTTGAGCTAATTTTCAACAATGATCGCTCCGTTCTTGTTTCATATCTCTAAAACCTTGTACTGGATTGTCTCAAACACATATTAGGCTAATATGAAGGTTTGTAATTCATCAAAAAAAGCCAATTGTATGGGGACGGTCCTAACACTTTGTTGGTATTTAGTTTATATATTTGGACCCTCATAATTGAGCAATCATTTTAATTTTCATCAAGAACTTTCATTCTAACCCTGCATCTAGAAATTTTATTTAAAACATTTTCAAAAATAAGTTTACCAATGTTGATTTTTATCATGTATTCATCAGTCATTCTGGTTTTATGATGTTCCCTTGTCAATCCTTAGGATTGTTTCTATTTCCTACTAGACCCTTATTCATTTAGGATACAGACTCTCTTCGTTAACAAAAAAATATTGTAGAGAGTCTACCATTATAGTATAACCATTAATTTATTTAATGGATGGTTATAATTTGCTTTTAAGTATGGATTAGAAAATGTATGTAAATTACGGGAGTTCTGTGTATTAGATTTGGAATGAATCATGACCCATTATTAGATAATTAACGGCTTTGAAAAATATAACGGTCTCGTCACTATTTTTTATAGTGAAGAATATCCAAATTTATTTTTTCATAAAAAATCTCCACTTTTCTTAAATTCCTTCCAGGAAATGAAACGTATATATAAATAGAGAAGACGATTTTTAATATTTTGATAATTTCCATTGCATCTTAATAAGAGGAGCTCTAGCGGTAGTCGCGAAAAGCTACTCTTGTTGTCACTCTCTTATAGAGAGACATCTGTCCAAAAATATAATTAATCCTAAAACGAACCCTAAATCTAATGATTAACCCAAAGATTCCTTAGTTTAATTTAGGCGAGTGTCTAAGGACAGTTGTGTCCGGCAGCTGGCCTTAGACTTCTTGTTTTAATTATAGTTTCATAAAATATAGTACAGTCGGCGGACGACGTCCGACGTGGGCATGGGTTGGCCCATCCCACAACACGGCCGAATGGGTGCAGGCCTTGAATGTTGGGTTTCTCCTTTATTTAGGGAAATAATCAGTAAATATCCAAATTACAAAAGCGATTAATGGTATGTTTACCAATAAAATGGTGAAGGGTTGGGCCCGTTAAAGAAGATCTCTAATTTCTTGATGATCTTTCAGCCAGGCCATCTTATTGCGTATGTCTTCTTTGAGATCCTTTGCATTGAAAAGTTTAGAATTTATAACTATAGAAAATTTTAGTCAAATCTATAAAGATAATGTCGTACTCTTTTACATTTGGGTTTTAGGGTCTTCACAATCTTCTTTGTTGGTATGCACTTATGTACTGTTCAAGTATAATCTATAATATCTTGAAAAAAATTTCCCATTCCTCAAAAGTAACAATCCTCTGTGACTTTTCCTTATAATATAATAATTATTTATTCCATCTATTTTAATAAGATTTACTGGTTTATTCAAGGAGGTGCGGGGAGTTCCGGGAAAGAAAAAAGTTTTTTAAATTAAATGGGATAACAAGATTATGCTTTTTCCAATAATTTGGTGGCTCAACAAGCTTTGAACTTTGTGGATGAGTTTTTGAGAGCAACTCAATCATCGATCACTAGTGTGGTGGGTTTCACCTGAAGTCATGAGAAGTGCTAAAGTAGAAGTATCATTTCTGGGATTACAGGGCGGTGGTGAGAGGAAAACTTATATTTTCTGTCTGAGAAAGCACAAGAGTTTGGATCTCCACAATTGTTAGAGGTTATGGCTATTATAAGGGCTTCGGAAGTAGCAAGGAATTTGGAGCTTGAGGCGATCGAATTTCAATCTGATGCTCTTGAGGTAGTGTTGAGCTACAAATGGGTGGAAATTGCACAAAACATAATGGAGATTTTATGAATATGGCTGTCCAATTAGCTCAAACATTTCGATCTTTCTCTTTTTTTTTAGAAAAGGCATGTAGGGTAACCTAATCAGCCAAGTCCTCAACAACATTCTGTCTCAAAAACAAAGGGACAAAAACAGAAAAAAAACAAGATGACAAACAGTCAACCGACTTAGTTAGGGAATGAACAACATCATTACTAGTGCGCCTTACATAAAAAACTTTAGAGCAGCCAGTAATAGTCAAACCAGCGTGAACTCCATCTGCAATAGGAGTCAAGGAAGCAAAAGGAGAAAGAGAGTCCACTAAGGAGACAACTTTTAGAGAGTCAATTTTCACCACTGAAATCCTCCAGTTCATACGCCGAACAAAGCGAATGCCTTCCAGGACAGCCAACAGCTCAGCATGATCTACAAACATAGGACCCCTAATCACCATAGAGTAGCAACCAATCACATGTCCATAGTGATCCCGAATAACACCTCCCAAACCAATAATATCTCCTTCCAGAGGAACAGCTGTATCTGTGTTGAGCTTCAGCAAACCAGGAGCAGGGGGATACCAAGCAGAAGGCCATTTGGAAGGGGTGACAATGTCACTTGAGCTTCAGCAAACCAGGAGCAGGGGGATACCAAGCAGAAGGCCATTTGGAAGGGGTGACAATGTCACGGGAGAGACCTCTAACGGGGGATACCAAGCAGAAGGCCATTTGGAAGGGGTGACAATGTCACGGGAGAGACCTCTAACTCTATCCATTTCCTCCACAAAACAGAGAATCTGAGTCACTAATCCCCCCATATAAATCACATGGTTGTGAAAGCCAAAGCTAGAGAGTCCCAGGCAAACAGAGGTGAGATGGAAAAGGAAATCACCACAAGACGTGCCTCAAAAACCATTAATCACTTCCCAAAGATCTAAGGACTCCCACACTAAACGAGCAAAGGATCAAACAGTGAATATATGAAGGACGGTCTCATAGACAGCAGATCAAAGGCGGAAACTAGGGGCACAGAGATCCCCCTGCGAGATAAACCAGCTGAGGTGGGGAGAGCAACATAGAACAGGCGCCAAAGGAATACTCTAATATTCAATGGGATCTCCGCATACCAGATCAAGGACAATCACTTCACTACCCCAGAATCCAAGGTGAAAGCAGTATCAGGCATAGTGTGGCGAAGAAGTCGGTATCCACTCTTGACTGTGTAGCACCCCTTCTCCTTATAATGCCAAATGAGCCTGTCAGGGACAAGAGAAGGTGGCAGTGGGATAAATGAAATGTACTCATGATCTACCTGCCAAAAGGAGGTAGCAATCAGCTCATGATTCCAAGTACCCAAAGAAGAGATCAGCTCAGCCATCCTTCTGAAAGGGTCGATCGAAGAAGTGATTGGCCTAAAAGAAAAGGGCCTTGGGATCCAATGGTCAACGCTGATAGAGACACTCTAGCCATCACGTATCCTCCATCTCAGACCTCGAGCCAGGAGCTCCGAGATAATGCTCCGCCATAACTAAGAGCAGCCAGGGCCGACACCAGCTGAAAGGAAGTCCGAGTCCCTAAAATATTTTCCTTTCAAAATCCTACTAGCCAAAGAAGAAGAGTCCTGAATAATTCTCTATGCCTGCTTAGCCACCAATGCCTAACTAAACATCTGTAGATCTCTAAAGCCTAGACCACCCTCTGACTTTGCACGACACACCTTCTGCCACCTAACCCACTGAATCTTTCTCTCACCAGAAGTTGATCCCCACCAGAATCTCATAATGATAGACTCAATCTCCCTGCACAAAGAAATTAGAATGCGAAAGATACCCATCAGATAGCATGGATCGCTTGCAAAACAGCTTTCACCATAACCTCTCTCCCCCCCAGCTGAGAAAAGATCCCTCCTCCAAGCTTGGACTCTTTTCCAAACTGAGTTTCTGATTGAAGCAAAAGTCTGACGACGGCTTCTTCCAACCACCAAAGGGAGGCTTAAGTACCGATCATGTGACTGGGCCCTATCAAGCCCCAAGACAGAGAAAATAGAGGCCCTAGTATCCTCATCTACACAGGGGCTAAAGGTGATGGCAGACTTCTGAAAGTTGACTTTCTGATCGGTTGTGACCTCATGTAGTAGCAGAGTACTCTGGACGGTCTGTGCAGCAGCCTGAGAAGCTTGAATAAAAACCAAAGAGTCATCTATAAAGAATAAGTGAGAAATCCTAAGCCCTGATCGGGAACAAGATAACCCTTTGATGCACATGTTCTCCACCTGTCTGATGATCAGTGCTGAGAGAGCTTCCGTGCAGAGAAGAAATAAATATGAAGATAGTGGGCATTCTAGTCACAGACCACGAGTAGGAGTGACCTGACCCACAATTTGCCCATTGAGACAGAAAGAGAGTGAGGAACTAGAGATACAGTCCAAGATGAGATGCCTCTAATGGTCTGGAAATCCCATAACCTGAAGGACCTTGTCAATAAACCCCTCATTCCACTCTATCATATGCCTTACTCATATCCAATTTCAGTGCCATATGGCCAGACTGACCCCGTCTCCTTTTTTGCAATGTGTGAAGAAGTTCAAAAGTAATAATGACATTGTCATGAATAGATCTTCCTGGGACAAAGGCACTCTAAAAGCATCTGATCAATTCGCCAAGAACTCGCTTCAGCCTATTAGCAATGGTTTCGTGACAATCTTGTAGACCATATTACATAGGCCAATGGGTCTAAAATCTACCGCAGTCTCAGGTGAGTCCTTTTGGGGAATAAGAACCACATTGATTTTATTCCAAGACCTGATAGGCGAGCCCCCATTTAGAATCTTCAAACATGTAGCCGAAATATCTGGGCCAATAACAGACCACTAGGACTGAAAAAAGGATGTATGGAAGCCATCTGGGCTGGGTGCCTTAGAAGGGACCATAGATTGAAGAGCATCCCATACCTCATCACCTGTAAAAGGCTCAAAAATGATCCGGAGGTCATCCACTGAAAGCTTAGAAGAGATAGCACCACCCACCTCGGCCAAAACCTCCTCTGAAGGAGTGGAAGAAGAAAATATTTCTGAGAAATACTCCTCAATAAGCGTTGTAATTCCCACCTTATCCTCCACCCAAGTGCCATTAGGATGACGTAGATGGCTAATAAAGTTCTTCCTCCTCCTAGTGGAAGCTCTAATATGGAAGAATTTAGTGTTACGGTCACCGTCTCGGAGCCAATCAACCCTAGCTCGCTGACGCCAAAAGCCCTCTTCCCTATACTCAAGAACCTCCCTCTCCTTCTCAAGTCTTCAGATCTCAGCCATATGATCCCCCACATCAGGAGAAGAGTAGAGAGACTGGAGCTTTTGCTGAATAACTATTAATCTGTGCCTCCATCTACCAAAACGTTCTTTGCACATAGTCAAATGTTTCTCTTTTAGTCATACTAGGCAGGAAGAATTTCGATCTTTCTCTTTTAGTCATACTAGACAGGATACATGTGCATTGCACGTAGTCAAATGTTTTAGTTATATCTTTTGAGTTTATGTCTTCATTACAACTGTATTGTGACATAATTGTTTTATACTTGAAATTGTTTTATGAACGGAAAAAATGAGAAGGTAAAAATTTAAGAGTGAAATGAGTAGAAACAATCTATCAAATCTATGTGAATTAGAGTCGATGGTCACCTAATTGATTCCTAGATATTATTATGTCATCACCTCAGCAAATTGCTTTTAATTAAGTGACACACATGCAGGGATTTTTCAACATCAGTCCCATAAATCATTGTTATTTAGTTATTAGTCCTTCACATACTTATATTTTAATATTAGTCCCTCACGTAGACATTTATTTCCTTAATTAGTTATTAGTCCCTCACATACTTATATTTAGTTATTAGTCCCTCACATACTTATATTTTAATATTAGTCCCTCACGCAAATTTTATGGATTTTGCATATTTTCTAGCTTGGTCACTCACGTAGACATTTATCTCCTTAATTATGAAAATAATTTAGGAGGTGTGAATATTTCATTATATTACCTATTATCTTCATTTTTTAATTTAAATATAAAGAAACGAACGATAAGATAAAGAGTTCTACTTTTTTTTACTTGTTAGGTAACAAATTCTAATATCTAGAGTATTAAAATTCTAAAGTCTTTATTTTTTAATAATTATAAAAGAACAAATGGTAAGATAAAGAGATCTATATTTTTTTTAACTTGCTAGATACCAAATTCAAAATTTTAGATCGTCAAAAGTTTAAATCTTTATTTGTTTTTCTAGTAAAAATAAATTCTATAAATTATGAGATTTTCTATTTTTAATATATGTAAATTAAATCTGTGCTTATATGCATATTAATAAGAAGATGATAGGATAATTAAAGCTTATTCCTATTAATTAAATCTAATTAGGATAGGATATGATAATAACATAATATCTAAAAGAGTCAAAGATATTTTTGCCCATAGAAAGTTTTTCCCAAACTCACTTTTTTAAAAAGAGTATGATATGATATGATATGATATGATATGATATGAGTGGAAGGATAAGCAATATGGTAAGCTCACAGTCTAGCTTAGCGCAGTCGTCACATTTCTAATTCTATGCATTGGTCAAATGAGGTTCTAGGTTTTTTTTATTGCTTTGCATATGAAGTATGTAATTTTTTATTCGGTTCAATAAAAATTGCTCCATTTTCCAGTATAAAAAACTTTCATATAATACCATATAATACTGTATCTTGATTTTTTGGGCAACCAAAGCACCCCGAAATATAACTTGCCTGACCTGCACATAAAACACAGTTAGCTAGATGGGCTCGGCCCAAGTGATGGACCTCATAGCGTACAGCAAATTGGGCCCAAGCATTTTTGTCCAAAGTATAACCAGTTTGTACAGTGTAGACCAGTTAAAACCTTGGGGAAAAAGTAACTACATCCTAGATAATCAGATTATCGCAAATAGCACGTTTTGTATTTGGCACGTAATAAGTTTGAAAATTGACTGAACTGAGGATGCGCATTCCAAGTGAGCTGGCACTTGAAAGGTTGCTTTGCAATTCTACAATTATATTAAACTTTAGTACCATTGTTATTGTTTTAATTGCCAAAATTCCTTTTCTCAATATCAAAAAAAAAACTCAGTCAGTCGTATACGGGAAAGCAGGAGGGAGTGGATTAGTGGAAGCAACGAAATAAAAAATTGCATATTAGAAAATAAGATAAAACAAAATATGTTAGGAGGTGTTTGGCAATCTAAAATTGAATTTAAAATATGTAAGTTTTTTTTTTTGCAAATAACTTTTATATCCATGTCAGCATGCAAGTGAAATACAGTGTTTGTTTGAAAAATTAAATTATTATTGAAAGTATAATGTGAAGATGACGTGGCAAAATAAGATTAATTAGAAAGTATAATTAAATCATTTAATTAAATTAGTTACCTTTTGTCACTTTTATGTGACTTCACCACTTTTTTAGAGGAAGTCAAAATTACATTAAATCATATATGGTAACTTTTTTGCATCTCACTTTCATAATCACTTATTACATGAAAACAAACACCTTAATTGTTAAATGAAAGTAACTTTCTCACTTTCATCTTTCACTTGTATACAAACAGACACCCCCTTAGTGTATATAACGTTAGCTAGAAACGTATAACTGCCTACCAATTAAAAAGAAGAAGAAGAAGAAGAAGAAAGAAATATATAACAGCCTATCAAGTTTTCCCCCCGAAATTTATTTCGAATAAAATCTTAAACTATACTCCCTCGGATTGATTTGGATCTCTTTACTCTCACCATTATTCATAGATCGATATTAAATTATGTTCCAAAATAAAGAAAATTATTCTATTTTTTCTTTTGAAAATGATTGGGTCTCATATATTAAATTAACTCTATTTCACATAAAAGAAAATAATTTGGCTTAAAGCATTATAACATTTCATAAAATTTTAGGATGTTTATAATTTATCTTTAATATGACCATCATTACTTGAATAGCATTTAGTGACATTTTCCCTTCAAGAAAATTCGCAACTGCCAACAAAATAATAGGAAAATTTGATTATTTTTTAATGTAAAACTGTCCCCCCCCCCCGTCTTTCAACGGTAAAGAGTTATGAATACTAGGGGTGTGCAAAGTTCGCGTCCAAACCGACCGAAACGACCATTTGGAACAGTTCGCGTGTGCGTTTTGAAGTTCTATCGTTCGGGTCGTTTTAGACAAGTCCAACCTAAAACCGACCCGACCGAACTGTGCTCTCTCTCTCTCTCATTACCGCTACCCGTAACCCAAGGATAACTACAAAATCCCTCATTCTCATTCCCCTTGCGCATTAAACCCTAACTCTCCCGTTGCTCTCCCCCCCTACCCCCCCCCCTCTCTCTCTCTCTCTCTCTTCTCTCTCTCTTCTCCTCTCTCTTTTGGTCCCGCCACCGCCTCCACCATGACTGTCATCTCCCTCCTCAGCCTCTCGCTCGCCAGCCCCCTCGCCTCCGACCCC